AAAAAAAATACGTGTATAACCCAACGTAAGATTGGTATTGTTTCATTGAAATCTGCAATGACCTTTAAGGGTTCATCTAATATATTTTATATAGTCCTGCATAACTATCATATTGAGAGCTCTTTATTGTTCATCCGGGAGCATACTGCAACTTCTCTTGCCTTTTGAATTATGGTATTATTTCCTATATGCCACTTCTGGAGGTATTAAAATATTTCAAGTTTGTATAACTAGAAAATCTTACTTTTAGTTTTCAAAGGTATGTTTGCTAAGTATAAAATTCAAAGAAGACAGATCTTTTCTTTTCTTTCAGTCCTTCAATTAGTCTAGTTTTTTACACATTTGGTCCTTTTTTTTCCTTTCTAATATGGAAAAAGGTGCTATTTAATTTTGTTCTTCCATAGCTAATTTTTTTATGTATATGCTTTAATGACTTTTTCTTTACAATAAGTTTTGGACAATTTCATTTTTGTGTGTTTTGGTATGATTTAAATTTCTTGTGTAAAAGGTTCATTTTTCTTGGAAATGTGGTATTATAAGTTGAACTAAATTCAGAAATTTTAAATCTTTAAATATTTATTGCCTACTCCTATCTACTTTGAGAATTCTAATTATATAAGTTTCTTGGTTTTGACAGTGAACTATTATGACTGATCTGTAAATTCTTTCTTCATTTTTATTTCGAACAATTTTTATTGTTATATTCGTTTATGTTTGCAAATAATTTATTTTCAATTTGCAATCTATTAAAAATTTAAATAAAACATAATTTTAAAAAAAAATTGTAGACCTGAGGAGTTCCAGGCGCTCTCCCAGGCACAGAAGCAAAGACCAGAGCAATTATTACACGATGAAAAGTCACCAAAGACAGATTTGCGGCGGGGTATCAGTCACTCTGCAGGCCCTGGGCCCCAACCCCGGGCGCCCACGATCTGAGGAGGACAGGTTTGTGTGGCCCACAGTTTCAGGCCGGCCCCCAGGCAGAAACAGCACGGTGGGGAAGCCTGGTGGGCGCAGGCGGCTCCTTCTGGGCGCCCCAAGCAGCCGGGAGGATGCAGCGCGGCCGGAGCAGGAACTGCCCTTCAGGTCGCAGGTCCCGCCCGCTGCCCGGCGCGCCCCGCGGCTGCACTCAGCCCTGAAGGTACCAGCCATGAGTCCACAGACGCGCGCAGGCTCCAAGGCGCAGCCAGCTCCCTGAAGCTCCCCTGCGAACGCACAGACTTCTCCAGGGCATTTTAGACGCAAGCCGGAACATCGTGGCCAGGGAGACAGCTCATCAGTCCGAGCGCCCCCCTGGCAAGCGCAAGGACCCGGTTCGGCCCCCTGGACCACATGCTGTGCCAGCCTCAGAACCTGGTAGCACCACGCTGGCCCCAAACCCGGGCGTGGTGGAGCACACCTGCAATCCCAGCACCCAGGAGGCTGAGTCAGGAGGATCACTAGGAATCTGAGCTGTGCAGTGAAACCCCGTACCAAATACATAAAAAAAAGACCACACAATTACAGTGACAGACCACCTCAGGATGAACATACAGCGAAAGCAGGGAGAAGCAGAACGAAGCTAATAACAAAAGCCACGGTTGAAAGCTTATTCTTGGTGCAGTATTAAAAGCTACACATCAATTCTGAGTACTAAAAATCCCAAGAAAAAAAATATGATCAATTTTACACGATCCATACCGCAGCTGAGGAGGAGCAGAGCTTTCCCTAGGCCTGGTGCAGGGCTCCCAAGGCTCAGGGAGAAATGGTCTCCAGCCCCACAGCAGGGCCCCACAGCAGGACACACCGTGCAGTGGCCAGGAGGGTCATCGTGCCCTCAGCAACGGAAATGTGGACCGAACGCCCGCCTGCCTCCTTCTTCGTTTCCCTTTTCTTGCTGAGTATTTTTAAAAACCCCATTCTCCCTGCTGCCTGCTCTTTGGTATTCGAGTGTGAGTGAGAAGGGAGACATTGTGGCTAAGAAAGAAGACCAAGGGCAACGTCACCGCTCAGTGGTGGCAGCAGAGGCTGAAGCTGAGGCAGAAGCAGACATCTCCTGGTGACAAGCGGCCTCACGTGGTGCGTGGTGGTCTGCACTGCCCGCCCAGTACGTGGGCCACGGACACACTGGAGCCTACACGCATGCCTGACTCCGAACACCAGCATGGCCTCCAACAGCCCTCTGTGAGCTTCCTCAAGTCCCTGGCTAGCAATGCGCGTTACTTCCCTCCTAAATGAAGTACTGAAAGATTGTAGAAGAGCTATGAAAAATAGTATCAGAAAGCCAAGGGACATAAAACAAAGACATGAGTAAATGCTTTGGTCTGGGGTTGTTAAATGCTTGGTGTCCGTAGAAGGCCAAGCTTTGGAGGCGGGGTGCGGCTGACAGCTTCCAGCACACGCTTAGCAGCCCGATGACTGCGGTCAGCCTTTGCGTTGGACTATTAGTGCAGGTGGGGATGCTCCAGGGTGGGCACTGTCCTGTCCCTGGGAGGGACTTCTCAGAAGCTTCTCTGGACCAGTACATTGAGTCACATATAATATTATATATTATTTTGCTTTGGGAAAGAAAGAAAAAAATGTCTATTTTCATTGTAAAAAACTTGTCAATGTGATGTTCAACAGCATCTTCTCAACTGCAGGAATAGCAAGGGTGGGTAATTCTCAAAGTTTAGGAAAACGGAACACCGGGCCCATCTGCAGGTACACTGCCTTCCAGCAGGCACTGCGATTTCTGTCACCTTCGGAAGACTGGACTAACTAACCAGGCGGTGGTGAGTGTTCCCAGGGCTTAGGGTTCCGGGCATACAGGGCGCTGGGACAAGTAAGTCTAATGCACGAGGGTGGCGCCGACATCATGGTTGCTGGGAGTACAGAGGTGGGAAGTGGAGAGGGATTGAAGAGGGCTGCTGGGGGCAATAAACTGTCCCCAAGTTGATTTTGGTGGATGCATGAGGCTTTTATATTCAATGTCACTTCTCAGGCTCCACAAATAACATGCGTGTATTTTATTCAAATGTAATTATAACCCTATCATGTTCCTTTTAAAGGAAATACGTGTTCAAAACAATTCATTGCTAGGCATAGTGGCCCACAACTGTAAGCCCAACACACAGGAGGCGGAAACAGAAGGCTCTCCACGCCTGCGGGGGCTGTAGAGTGAGACCCTGTCTCAAAACACAAAAAAAATAATAGATAAATATGGAGTAAATTAACCAAATTCTACCAATGATGAAATATTTGCGTTCCAATATTAACCACTTGAACTTGAAATATTTACACTGAGTGACTAAAACATCTGAGGTAAATGCGTCCATACCTGGTTAGTGGGCAGGTGAGTTACAGGCATTTGGCAGCATCACCCACTGCCGTGGTCGGATACTGTGTGCCTGAAATTCCCTCTGTTGAATCCCACTCCCCAGTGTGCTGGGGAGGGTCGGCAGGGGTCAGGTGAGCAGAGGAATTAAGGAGCCTCAGACCCCTTCCAGGAGGCCGGGGAGCTTAGTGTTCCTTGGCCTGAGGCGGCGCAAGAAGTGCCGGCCACCGAACGCGGCCAGCCCCCCAGGCCCCGGGTCTGCCCGCAGTGTGACTGGTTTCCCCAGGCCCTGCCGAGTGCCCTAAATTTCTGGGGTGTAAAACCCACCCACGCTATGGGGTTCTGCTATAGCAGCCTGGACAGACAGAGCCACCAACCCTGTTTAACAGCAAGGAAAAATACTTGATGTGAAAAAGACACTGAAATTTATATTTATACACTTTTATATTTACAAATATGTAAATTGTGAGTATGGCATACAAGGAATTAGAAAAGAGAAACCGCTGGAATGTAAAAACACGTACTTCATGTTTTTATACTTTCTTTAACACTGATTGATAGGCAAACGCACTCAGGCGCAGGATACCCCGGTTCGATCCCCAGCTCCACATGCCTTACCAGACCTGCCCTTCAGGCAGCCTGAGCCAGTCAAAAAAAAAAAATCCTTTAACACTGATTCAACAAATTTTTATAAGAAAGTATCGCAGCGGGCTAGCCAGATAGCTCAGTGGTCTAAAGCGCCTGCTTAGGCAGAGCACAGTAGCCGGGGTCAGCCTGGCCCCGCCAAGACAGCGATTGAGAGTAGGCGAGGTGGTGCACCTGTAGTCCCAGCACTTGGGAGGCTGAAAACAGGAGGATCACTACAAGTCCATCTATGTAGTTAGACCCCGTACTAAATTCAAATACAAAAAAAAAAAAAGTATGGCAGCAAACAAAATGATGTATCCAGATCCTCTGGCTCATGAGCGTGGTGACTGGGTGTGCATGCCTTATGCATGAGATGCGCCTCCCTCAAACCTTGTTACAACGTGGGCACATTACCCGTCTGACGTGGAAAAAAAATGATGTGTCCTCAGATCCAGAACCATCAGCCTGCAGCCTGCCTGCCGCAAAGCCCGCCCAAGCTGCTGGGGCTGAAGGATTTCCCCACGCAGGCCTTGGCTCCCCGGACCCAGACGCACCCCAGCCAGACTCGAGTCCACAGTCCAGGGAGGAGTCCACAGCCCTTATTTCAACATGCACTGGTGACTTGGTAGCCACTAATTTGGGGCAGCAAGTGACGTCACTGACTTGAAAGAGTCAGAGTAATGTTCTTCCACCAGTTAATTTCCCCTCCGTAACCCTCTAATTAAGGGACCTCCACCTACTTCTTGCAGAGACTCACAAGGTAGCAGTGTTCCCAAGTAACACAGCAAGCAGAAGAGACTTGTGAATTGCAGGTCAGGAGCAGCAGCAGCAGACGTTTGGGCAATGCAATCCGCAGGAGAGCAAGGGCTGCTTTTTCTTTTGTTTGCAGTGCAAGAGCTTATCTCGTTGTCTTGGGGCCCGGGTCGGGTCCCCGTACACAGCAGCTGGTTTCTCGTTGAACCCCTCCCCCGGCCACTCACCTCCATTCCAGGGCCATCTAACGTTTACAGCCAGGGAAGGTCCAGGTCCAGTACTGGGGCACATTCACCCCACCTCTTTCCCCTCACCCTCGCCCGCAGGCTCCTGGACCCCTTACCATTTGCAGGAGATCCATGCAGGTGGCCATTCTGATTCATCCTGTTGATGTTTTTGTTTGTACTTTGCCTCACCCACATAACAGCGGCTGGTGTTTAGGTGTGTGTGTGTGTCTGGTTTATTTTGTCAATGTTGCATTTTCTAGGTATATCCATTTCCCTGTAAATGTCTCAAATTTGTCTTTCATTAAAGCTGTGTAGGGCTAGAGAGCTGGGCAGCATTAGTACCTGTCTGCCAAGCACAAGGACCTGGTTTTGATCTCTGGTACTGTGTGCCATGCTGGCCCCAGAACCCCAGGCATGCCGAGCCAGCCCCGAAACCAGGTGTGGTGGCGCATACGTGTAAACCCAGCACTGGGCAGGCTGAGACAGGAGGATCACTAGCGGACAACGAGTATCCAAAAAAAAAGCCTGGATAGTATTGCATTTGTATAGATTCCATTTTTTTTTTTTTTTTTTTTTTTCAGAACCAGGGATTGAACTCAGGCCTTTGCACTTGCCAGGGAAGCACTTATTTACTGAGCTATCTCCCTGACCCCTCCACATTTTCTTTATCCAATCATCTGCTAATGGGTATTCAGGCTGCTTCCAGGATTTAGCCATATAGGCATCGAAGTGACGGTGATGACCGATCCAGAAGAGAACAACTCTAGCAGGAGGAAGGGGTGGGAATATACAGTGGGCTTCCCCAAGCAGAGGGAAAGCTGTCCCAGCTTCTCGTTTCATTCCCATAAGGTTGAGCTGTCCAGCAACCCAGCTGGCTCTAACAGGCTAAGTTGCTATGAGGATTCCCCACGGGCCAGTGGTGAACATGTGTTCGTTCTTTCTTTCTTTCTTTCTTTCTTTCTTTCTTTCTTTCTTTCTTTTTTTTAGTCTTTGTTTCAGTATGCAGTTTAGGCTAGCTTGGAACTCACTTTTGTAATCCAGGAGGACCTCAAACTCAGTGATCCTCCCTCCTCAACCTCCTGAGTACTGGGATTACAGGCCTTTGATTCATTCTTAATGTGCAGCGAGGTATCTGAGGGTCTAAGAACTTCAGGGCTGAAGCTGAGCACTCCCCTCATGTCCTCAAGGTCCTGGGCCCATCCATCACTGAAGAGAAATACATGAATAGCCACGGGTCTACGGCAGGACCACCCAGAGACAGCCCGCACCACCAGGCCCCACTTACCTGCTGCATCCTTGCCCAGAGCCTCCTCCCTGCTTCAGGCAACCATCAAACTCCGTGGGCCAAGGACAACCACGTCACTTAGCACCTTCCATGGCCCTGGACCAGGATTCCCAGCCAGCAGGCAAGGTTCTTGCAGGTCCATGTCCGCGTGAGAGTGTGGCCGGACCACCCTTGCCAGCTGTCGCCCTCCTCAATCAGCTCCTTTCCTACCTCCAGCCCCCTGCGGTGATTTTTTTTTTTTTTTTTAGTTTTACATCTTTTATCACTTTGTTTTATTTAAGTCAACTTAGTCATTACAGTTGGTTACTTCATAAATTTTAGTCACATACATTGTTCTTGAAGCTAGTATATACTGTTGGCATTTCCATAAACTGCAACCTAGAAAACGTCAAGTTGGACAACAATGGTAACTGTATATTCTGATTTTCTTTTTCATTGTGGTCAGATGAAGTATTTTAATATATTTCATTTTGATTTTTTGGTTACTCTTATTTTGCTGTAGATAACATGTCCTGGGAACATTCATTATCACCCACTAGCAAGAAAATATTTTTAAAAATTTCATCAGTAAAAAAAAAAAAAATTCTTCAGTGCCTAATTGAATTGTCAAAATATTTAAAGTGAGACCCAATTCTCTGGCAGTTTCTCTGTTACACTGCATTACTGTGCCTCAACTGCATATACATCTTTCTTTCTTTTTGATGATGATTTGTCCAGTGAGTTCTACATGTCAGGCTTGATGGCCTCAAGTGGCTGTTCCGGCCTCCAGTACTTCACCATTTGGCCCTCAGGACTGACCAGGTACTTCCAAAAATTCCACCTAATTCCCTCTTTGAAGAATTCATAAGGAATTTAAAGGCAGGTTCTACTTCAGATCCCAGAATCTTAATCTTGTGGAATATGGGGAATGTTACTCAGTAGTTTTGTCTTGCAAAAATTCTATTTCCTGGGGGGCCTGCCCCTTAGCTCAGCTCTTTAAGTGGCTGCTTCAACAAAGCAGTAAGGCTCAGGTTGCTGTGGTTCGATCCCCACAACACATGACAGCCAGCATGCCTTGAAGGCATTCGGAGCAAACAAAACAAAACAAAACACTTCTGCCATTTAATTTTTTTTTAATGTATTTATTTATTTATTTTGTGTGTGTGTGGCCAGCTCAGCCCACCAGGGGGCGGGGTGGGCTGGCATGTGGTGCTGGGGATTGAACCGCGGTCCCTGTGCTTTGCTAAGCTTGTTCTGAGTAGGTGCTTTAGACCACTGAGCCATCTCACCAGCCCCAAATTGTTTTTTAAGAGGCAGGGTCTTTTTTTTTTTTTTTTTTTCAGAACCGGGGATTGAACTCAGATCCTTGTGTTTGACAGTCAAGCGCTTATCCTACTGAGCCATCTCCCCAGCCCCTCACTTCTGCCATTTAAAAAAAAAAAATTCTATTTCCTGGCTCAAATGGGGCACTGAACCAACAAACTGGTTGCAGGGAAAAGCTGAGATGCTGAAATGGAACGGTCCAGAACCCTTGTGTGGTTCCTTCCATGCTAGGTAACTTTTGTCTGTGAGCTGGCAGTCACTAGCCAATGCTTACAAGTAGCGTCACTTTGCCTTTAAACTTTTCCAGAGAAACAGGCCTTCCTTTGACGTCCTTCACAGAAAGGCATGAAGGCTGTGGATTTTCGGTCTTAGGGATTTTAGCTGTTGAAGAAATACCATCATAGTGCACAGAACCCCAGACAGCAACACTGCAAAACCTCTGCTGTGGGCCGGGAACATTTTCCTGGGTGAGCTGCGAGAGGCTGCATTTTGGATCTCCCAGAGGTGATTCTTAAACCACAGTTCTGCCCCAGCAGCCAGCGCTGTTCTCTGCTGAGAACATGGATACCTGCTAGCTGAGGCCCTTTCAACGCCCGCCTGCTGGCCAGCCTGTGCTCACTGGTAACTGCCGCCCTGTTCACATCAAGCACTCTTCATCCCTGCCGCACCCCTGCCCTAGAGCAGCACTGGAGAGGTGCGACTCTAGACCGGCACGGAGGACACTCAGGGGCACTCTCTGCATGCACCAGCCATGCAGCAGCGCCCTGCACAAACATGCCTGTAGAGTTGGGTGCAGAGGCATAGGCCTGTAATCCCAGCTACTTGGGAGGCAGAACAGAATGCTTCCAAACTTAGCGATCTGGGCACCGCCGCCTTTGTCACAGGACACAAGAGGATACAGAGTCACAACATGACTTTTCTTTTGCATTCTGTTTTGGAATCTAAGTTTTGTGCCGTAAATTTGGAAACCACAGAAAAAGCTGTGTGACTACAGCTTGAGAGATGGGTGACTTCTGCAGGAAATTAATTGAAGGTACTGCTGATAGCAGGAACTGGCCCCCTTCCTCCATTCACTGGGCACATAAGCAACCTTTGGATCTCTCTCTCTCTCTCTCTCTCTCTCTTTTTTTGTGCCGGGGATTGAATTCAGGATCCTGTGCTTGCCAGGCAGGTGCTCATGCCACTCAGCTCTCTCCACAGCCCTGAATATATCCCTTTAATTCTCCCACCTTGGGGTTTGTATTAATCTATTTCCATTGCTGTAACAAACTTAACTGAAGTTGGCTAATATCTGAAGAAGAGGAATTTACTTAGCTGTTTTGAAGGATAGGGCAGCTAGGTGGGTAAGCCCTGCGGAGGGTAAGCGGTCTACAGGAGAGGGCCCAGACCAGGAAGGCTCAGGTGTGAACATGACCCTGTGACTGGAGGACAGGCTGCTTCTAGCAGTTGTCACCTTTATAAAGGTTCTTGTTCTTTGAAACTCCTCACACTGGGGACTGAATACAGAGTCACAGAAATATTAAGCAACCTTGAAACTCTTTTTCTTCTGAAATGATTGTAACATAGCACAAGGACTCTCATGTGCTCTGCTGTCATCAATTCCAACTCTGTTATGTTTACCTTATTAATCACCTTCTCTATTTGAACTAGTAGAGGGTAAACTGAGAAATCAGCCCCCTTTACCCTTAAATATGTCAATGTGGGGTCTGAGTTCAATCCCTGGTTCCGCCAAAAAAAAAAAAAAAAAATGTCAATGTGTAGTTTCTAAGAATTTGTAAGACCACAATACAATTATTCAAGCCAGGAATTTTGATTGACTAAAATACTGTTATCGGAAAGTGTACCTTCAAAGTTTTGCCAACGTATTCTTCATAGCTATATTCCTCCAATCCAAGATCACCTGCCCCCAGCCTTTTTCAATCTGGCACAAGCCTTTTTGGCTTTTCATTTTGAGACAGAGCTTGTTATGCAGTTCAGGCTGGTCTTGAACTCACTTTGTAGTCCATGCTGGCCTCCCTTGAAACGAGCCTCCTGCCCCAGCCTCCCCAGTGCTGCTGGCATTAAGGCACTGTCACCACGCTTGGCTTGCCCTAGTGCTTTCATCTTGGTCTTCTTTGACGCTAATGTTTTTGGAGACTAGGTCAATGATGTGGATTTCTCTATCTCAAGTGCAGAGTATAGCTTTATGCAGCAGCATTACCCTACACTGTGTCCTTTTAGGCTACACTGTTTGTTGTTAAACAGCAATGATGTTGGTTTATCCCAGACTTGTACGATTAGTCTGACTGTGATGGTGGCCACCACATTCCTGTTGTAAACTTTTCTTTTTGTAATTGATGTACACTGCGCCGAGAGTCACCTGAGACTGTCAGTATGTTCCTCTCCACGTTTACCTCGTAGCTTAGCATCTCTGATGATTCTTGCCTACATCATTTTGTTGCAATATATGCTTCATATACAGTAAGATTCAGTTTTAATTACACAAAGCGTTGTTTTCAGCCTATTCGCAAGCATCTGGACTAGTTACACGCTGGTCGCTGCAAAAGGCAACCCTGCGCCCATCAGCAGCCCCCGTCAGTACTCCTCAGACACCGCAGTGGGATTACGCAGTGTGCGTCCCTGTCTCCAAGCTTGAGCTACGCTGTTTTTAGTCAGTATTTTATCCTTTGTACTTGCCCAGTCAATCACTGCTACGATTCTTGGAAACATACTGCACAGCCTTCCAGTAGCACTTATCAGGCAACATTATTTTATCACCCTGTAACAAAGGCGCAGCGGGGAAGCTCACTTTGACGGGCAGGCTCCCTGGCCCCCTAGCAGCTCGCGATGGTGGGTGAAAGGCCCACGAAGCCCGCCTCTCCCGGGGTTCCGCCCCTCGCCCTGGGGCCCTGCGATCCCGCAGCCGCGGTCCCTCCGCCCCGCCCGCCAGGAGGCCCCGCCCCGCCAGGAGGCCCCGCCCTCCCGGAGGCCCCGCCCCCGAGGCCCAGCCCTTTCCCGGCGCCCCTCCCCGAGGCTCAGGAGGAGGAAGTGACGCGCCGGAAATGCTTCGCTCCCCTCTGCGCGGGGGAAGGGATCGGGCTCACAAGATGGCGGCGGCGGCGGAGGAGCGGATGACTGAGGAGGGAGGCGGCAGCCACGGTGACGGCGGCTCTTCTTCGGCCGTCGGCTCTGCCCAGCGACAGCCCCCGCCTCTCCCTGCCCAGCCCCCGCAGCCGGGGACCCAGGTGCCCCCAGCGCCGGCGCTGGCTGCGGACCAGCTGCCTCAGAACAACACGCTGGTGGCGCTGCCCATCGTGGCCATCGAGAACATCCTCAGCTTTATGTCCTACGACGAAATTAGCCAGCTGCGCCTGGTGAGGCCCCGGGGACCCCGCCGCCCTCTCTCCGGCCACGGCCCCGGAGGCGGCGCGGGCGCGGGCCCGGGAGGTCGGGCAGGGCCGGGTCGCGTC